GGCAGGTATCGCACATTGGCGGTTGTGACGCATATTTTGAGTGACAAGGAGCCACAGCAGAGGGATGAAAGAGCCACATGCGGCTCCAGAGCCATAGGTTGCTGACTCCTGTATATAGGGTCTCCTGCTTGAGTAGGGAAGTTGGATCAGAAGACCTCCAAGGTCCCTTCCGACTTTGCTATTCTGTTAAGTCCTTCCACCATCCTTCCACTAACCAGGCTCTTTCTTGCTCTGCCCTCTCCTTTTATAAGCAAAGGATGCAGGATTTGGTTCCCTGCCAATAAGAGCCCACCCAAGTCTTTGCCTTGAAGGGAAACAGAGACACACACACCCCCCGGGAAAGATAAATAATTGAGGATGGTCTTCTCGAAGTCTCTCTGATGAACCAAACCATTGTTGCCTTCCGGGATTTCCAGAGGTTGGGAATCATTTTTGGGGATGCTTCAAGCATGTATTGAAGGAGTCCAGGAGATATCCCCGACATCATCCGATGGGACAGAAAAAGTCTTCTATAAACTTTGGGAAAAAAAAAACATTTGCAGTGCTGGTGCAGTCAGTTTCAAATGTGCAATTAATAGACCATTCAGAAAAATCCCAGTACTGTAGTTGTGAGGATTGTAATATAATCACCATCTTATTCTTCGATGCTCTTGTGGTTTATTCCAAGCACTATCAATGGACGGTGGTAGCTGAATTGCAGTTATTATCATTAGTGGTTTTTAAAAAGGAGTTGATTTAGAGTTGTTCTTCAGAAGCGAGGCCCGAGAAATCAGAATAGAATTCATGTCTCCGATCCTTATCCTAGGCAAGTCCACTGAGAAATACTGCAATCAGTTTTGGGCGCCACGATGTCAAAAAGATGTGGAGACTCTAGAAAGAGTGCAGAGAAGAGCAACAAAGAGGATTAGGGGACTGGAGGCTAAAACATATGAAGAACGGTTGCATGTCTAGTTTAATGGAAAGAAGGACTAGGGGAGACAGGATAGCAGTCTTCCAACATCTCAGGGGCTGCCCCAAAGAAGAGGGAGTCAAGCTATTCTCCAAAGCACCTGAGGGCAGGACAAGAAGCAACCGATGGAAACTCATCAAGGAGAGAAGCAACTTAGAACTAAGGAGGAATTTCCTGACAGTTAAAACAATTGATCAGTGGAACAACTTGCCACCAGAAGTTGTGAATGCTCCAACACTGGAAGTTTTTAAGATGATGTTGGATAACCATTTGTCTGAAGTGGTGTAGGGTTTCCTGCCTAAGCAGGGGGTTGGACTAGAAGACCTCCAAGGTCCCTTCCAACTTTGTTATTATATATAAATCAGTCCTAGGGAATAGGAATATGGAATGGAATGGAATGGAATGGAATGGAATAGAATAGAATAGAATAGAATAGAATAGAATAGAATAGAATAGAATAGAATAGAATAGAATAGAAATATGGAATGGAATGGAATGGAATGGAATGGAATGGAATGGAATGGAATAGAATAGAATAGAATAGAATAGAATAGAATAGAATAGAATAGAATAGAATAGAATTATTTATTGGCCAAGTGTGATTGGACATACAAAGTGCATAAGCACTTAGTCTACATAGAAGTGATAAATCAGGATCATAATTATAACATACCATCATCATAAATCGCAAGATACAGCACTCAGTGGTAAGTCATAGGATACTAAATAAGCAATCAACATCAATCCTAATAGGATACTAAATAAAAGCAATCCACATAAATGATAAGATACAAACAACCAAGTGATAGTCGTAAGAAGCTAAGGAAATAGGAAAGATGAGAAGGATAATAGTCATACAGCCTTGCTAGGTGATTTGACATCCCAGACTCAGGGCATAAGAGAGAGTTGTGGGGATTAGTGGTTTAGCAGACTGATGGCATTGGGGGCGGGGGAGAAACTTACCCCCTTAACCCTCATCCCCAGCATGGATTTAACTTTTATAGGTTTGCAATCTTCTTCCCCTTAACGGGACATGGTGGCTCAGTGGCTAAGACGCTGAGCTTGTCGATCGAAAGGTCGGCAGTCCAGCGGTTCGAATCCCTAGCGCCGCTTAACGGGGTGAGCTCCCGTTCCTTGTCCCAGCTTCTGCCAATTTAGCAGTTTGAAAACATGTAAAGAAATGCAAGTAGAAGAATAGGGGCCACCTTTGGTGGGAAGGGAACAGCGTTTCCGTGCGCTTTTGGCGTTGAGTCATGCCGGCCACATGACCACGGAGATGTTTTCGGACAGCGCTGGCTCTTTGGCTTTGAAACGGAGATGAGCGCCGCCCCCTAGAGTCAGGAACGACTAGCACATAGGTGCGAGGGGAACCTTTACCTTATCCTTCCCCTTGCATTTTGCAAAGAAAAACCAGCCCTCAAACCTGCAATCTAACGCCACCAGCCCCTTTGCAACATCTTGGTTTTTTAAAAAAATTATATCTTAAAATCCTCCTTTGCTTTATCTTCTTAGTTTGGCGTCTGTCAAAGGAGCCCGTCGCTTCATTAAAACCTCGCAACATGTGCGGGTGGACCTACAAAGTTCGGGTAGCACCCAAACTTTGTGAAGCTAGCCATGACCTCTCTCTCTCTCTCTCTCTCTCTCTCTCTCCCCCCACTCCACGCCCCAAACACACACGCATACACACTTCAGTAGCAGGATAAAGTAGGAATCTGGAGAGCCTCCAGTAGGTTTGGAAAGGGGGATTGTGAAACGGGCAAGCAGCCGGATGGATTCCTTCGGAGGAATTCCTCCATCTCGGCCTCCAAATAACTTATTCCCTGGGATGGTTTCCAGCGAAAGACGGCAGCTAAGTCATCATGCCCGGATCTGCTGCTGAGAAACGGGGGGTATCCAAGCACGTTCGTTCATGGAAGGAAGCTTCGGCGGAAGAGGAGGAGAAGGAAGGCATGTCGTGAAAGATGCTGTCAGGAGCATCTCTGCAACTATCGCTGATAGGAAGAATTGTTGTTAGTTGCGAAGTCATGTCCGACCCATCGCAACTCCATGGACCATGTTCCTCCAGGCCTTCCTGTCCTCTACCATCCTCTGGAGTCCATTTAAGTTCACGCCGACTGCTTCGGTGACTCCATCCAGCCACCTCGTTCTCTGCCGTCCCCTTCTTCTTTTGCCCTCAATCGTTCCCAGCATTCGGCTCTTCTCCAGGGAGTCCTTCCTTCTCATTAGGTGGCCAAAGCATTTGAGATCCTCTTCAGGATCTGGCCTTCTAGAGAGCAGTCAGGGTTGATCTCCTCTAGGACTGACCGGTTGGGTTGCCTTGTAGTCCAAGGGACTCGCAGGAGTCTTCTCCAGCACCAGAGTTCAAAGGCCTCCATCCTTTGGCGCTCAGCCTTCCTTATGGTCCAACTTTCACAGCCATACGTTGCAACTGGGAAAACCATCGCCTTGACTATACGCTCTTTTGTTGGCTGGGTGATGCCTCTGCTTTTTAATATGCTGTCTAGCTTTGCCATAGCTTTCCTCCCCAGGAGCAAGCGTCTTTTAATTTCTTGGCTGCAGTCCCCATCAACTTTCACAGCCAGTCATTGCAACTGGGAAGAATAGCCAGTATAAAAATGAATAGTTTGCCGAGATTATTATTATTATTGTTCCAAACAATCCCAATAAAGCTGGGGGTGAAAAAATGAGGAGCTAAATAAAATAATGTTAAAATATATCTGGCAAGGGAAAAAAGCAAGAATAAGAATGAAAATGTTACAAGATTCTAAAAACAAAGAGGGGGTTTAGGTTGCCAGACTGGGAGCTATAATACTGTACTTAACATGGGTGAAAGAATGGATAAATTTGAGGTATAGACGATTATTGATTTTGGAGGGACATGATTTGCAACTGGGGTAGCAGACCGTTTTACGGTATGGGGAAAACAAAATACATAGGATATTTTCAAGGACATTGTATTAGAAATGCTTTCCTGTTAGTATGAGCACAAAATGAAAGCAAAACATGAGATGAAAATGCCAAGTCTGGCTTTCCATGATGGAGGCACAGATGCATCCGAACGTTGTCAACATGGAAATTTTTTTACAAAGAATAGAATAGAATAGAATAGAATAGAATAGAATAGAATAGAATAGAATGGAATAATTTTATTTCTATACCGCCCTCCTCTCGAAGGACCCAGGGTGGTGTACAGCCTATTAAAAACACAAGACAACATCAGTTAAAATAGTTTAAAATTATTAAATGAATTCGGCTTTTTCATTCAAAATATAAAGATATTTTGAATGAAAAAGGGGCACTTCAAACCAAGCAAGAATTGAAAGATGCTGGGAATCTGGCAGCAGGAAGAAGCACTTCTCTGGCGGGGGTCCATTTTGAATCAGCTCAGCAGGGTCTGATTTGCTTAGAGGATGGCGGATGAGGGACCACCAGGAGAGCCCAGGAGGTATAAGTTTTTTTAAAAAAAAACATCCCAGAGGATGCAATGCAAATTTCTTCTGTATTGTTGCTCAGAAAACTAGAAAGGCGCGGCTGTGTTATGTTAGAGTTGGGCTTTTTTAAGAACAAAGGATGAATTTATTGACGCTTATGTATTTTCCGAGTTCTCCTATCAAATGCAAAGCAGAGATCCTTTCCTTCAGGGTCTGCTGCTTTGCATGTGCTGAAGTTCAAAACTGGCTTTTTCCACCCGCCTCCCCCTCCTAAGTTCTTTATTTTCATACCAAAATTCCCTGGGGCTGAGTCAAGGACAACATTATTATCTTCAGGGGTTTTTTTTCCCCCTCTTAAATGGAAGGACTGTAATAATCGGAGCCTTTTCCCTGCCAATAAATCAGTAGCATTGTCCTTTCTGCAGATTCTGGATATGCATTTCTTCTTGTTGCTGTTGCTACCAGTATGAACTTTAAAGGAGACTCTGTTTGTGATGGATCTAGCCCAATAACTCGCAAGACGAATTCTCTTTCTTAATTAAATTCCTTTATTGCGTGCCTAGATAAATCCTAGGCCTTATGTAGCCAGAGGTCACTGACCTTGGACCTTTCTCTTTCAGGTACACATCTGGAACTGCTAGAACACCTCGTGGAGTGGGCTATTACACCCAGGAGGAGGGGCTAGGAGGTAAGGAGTGGCTATGGGAGTGATGGGGTATGTGGTTGGTTAATCCTTACAGAGCTGTGTGCCCAGGGTGGCAATACAGTTAGGCATTTACCATGACAGACTCCGAGAGCAGAGATAAGTAGAGATAAGAGATAAGTTCTTTGGAAAATAGCTTGACCCCCCTCCTTTCTGTGGCAGCCCCTCAAATATTGGAAGACTGCTATCGGGTCTCCCTTGGTCCTTCTTTGAAGACATTTCACTTCTCTATCCAAGAAGCTTCCTCAGCTCTTTTCTCCTTCAGCTGAAGAAGCTTCTTGGATGAGAAGCGAAACGTCTTCAAAGAAAAACAAGGAAGTCCAGTTGCCTCTTGGAAAAAAAAAAAAGCACCTTTTGGGATAAGAGCTGTTCATTTGCCGTCCACTTTAAGAGTTGGTGGGCTCACGTTTATTGCAGAGGCTGAAGCAGAGAGCAGATAAGTTATCTGGCCCAAAAACTGATTCCTGCGCTCAGGTCCAGAGGGATCAGCTAGCCAGGTGATTCCTTCCAGGTAACTGGAATGCCAGGATATAAACTACATTTAAGCCAGATTGCTAGAGTGATGAAAAAGGAGAAAAGCAGGTTGGGAGCATATCCAACCCAGCTGGTTTTTGCAAATAGACTCAAAAGGCAGACCCAAGACTGAAGAAGGTGAATTTGGGGACAGCGTAAGTCATCGTGCTTTTGGTCTCCTTCCCAGATTCCAGGCAATAAACGATGCTGCATTCCGGAAACTGTGGCCCAGCCAAGCCGGTGTTTCTGCATTGTTTATTCCTTAGGGTGTGCTCCAGTGTGCTCCCCCTCCGTCCTCAACGCTGCCATTTAACAAAGACTTCTTTGAAGGTGATTTCCTTCTCCCAAGGGATCTTCTGCTTTAAGGGGAAGGGGCTGTGGCAACCCCCATTTGGCTGGATTGGGATAAGTGGCAACGGCCAACTCGTCATGGCCGACTCAACATAGCCAACCTGCCATGGGACAATTTAGCAATTCAGTTGAATTATTTAAAATAGATCAAAACATATCTTAACTTTGGTCATTCGCATTTCATTCTGTCCCTCCTTTGGCATCCTTTCTTTAATGATTCTATCTCACCATTTCTTTGATATTAATGTAACTTTTGTCCTGCAGTGAGTTGGCCGTGATGACTTGGCTGTGGCGAGTTGGATGTGGTGGGTTGGCCGTGGTGAGTTGGCCGTGATGATTTGGCCATGATGAGTTGGCTGTGGCGAGTTGGCCGTGGCGAGTTGGCCATGGTGGTTGGCCATGGTGAGTTGGCCATGATGACTTGGCTGTGGCGAGTTGGCCGTGGCGAGTTGGCCGTGATGAGTTGGCTGTGGTGAGTTGGCCATGGCGAGTTGGCCCTGATGAGTTGGCCGTAAGTTGGCCATGGTGAGTTGGCCGTGGTGAGTTGGCCATGATGAGTTGGCTGTGATGAGTTGATGAGTTGGCCGTGGCGAGTTGGCCATGATCAGTTGGCAGTGGCAAGTTGACCATGGTGAATTGGCCATGGTGAGTTGGCCATGGTGAGTTGGCCGTGGCGAGTTGGCCATGGCGAGTTGGCCATGGTGAGTTGGCCACAGCAAATTGTCATAGACTCCATTTGGGAAGGAGGAAAAAGTAGACGAAGCTACTAAAAGGGAAGCTGGAGAAATGTGAACGTTTGCCAGTTTTGACTTAAACCGATTTGATTTACGGCTTCTGGGCCCGGAGTTCCTTGGAGTGATGATCGCACCTAGAGAGTTGAGGGGAGAGAAGCAAAATGCATCCAGTTAGGGTGCATGAACCAAATATGGCTCGGGTGTCACGTTCTTTACAAATCTCTCCGGTTCCATTGCATGGACAAATAAGGGCTGTGGATTTCCAAGGTCAGAAGGGGAGGCTTCGTAGGAAGAAGACAAATCAAAGAACGAATGCCGATTTAGCTAAGTCAAGAAAATTGCACCTTTCAACATCCTTGTGTTCTTTGCATTTTCTAAAAGCCGAGCCAGATTCAATATTTACCCAAGATGCTGGGGAGAAAAGCCATCTGCAGCTGGAATCTCCTCCATTCTTTGTTGAGTGAAATGTGCAGCAGGTCACAGTCCTTCAGTCCCATTTCACTGTTTAATGTTTTTTTGGCAATGATTGTCAGATTATTAAAGGAGCAAACAGGAAGCCCATTGGGAGGTCTGGGAGACAAATTCAGGATGTCGTGGAAGAATTACGAAAGAAGCAAGAAAGACCCTTTGTTCTAACTGTTTCCCTTCTAGTTCCCTTGTTTAAGACAGACTTAATGTTGGGCAGATCTTCTAAACGGAAGACAAAGCTCTGTGATTGTTGTTGGGGGAAGGGAAGGGAAGGGAAGGGAAGGGAAGAGAAGGGGAAGGAAGGAAGGAAGGAAGGAAGGAAGGAAACAGGAAGGAGGAAGAAGGATGATAGAGGAAAGGGAAGGAAGGAAGGAGGGAGGGAGGGAGGATCGGAGGGAGGAAGAAACAGGAAGGAGGAAGAAGGATGATAGAGGAAAGGGAAGGAAGGAGGGAAGGAAGGAAGGAGGAAGGAAGGAAGGAAGAAACAGAGCAGGTGAGATCCAGCAGATTCTGACAGGTTCTGGAGAACCGGTAGCAGAAATTTTCAGTAGTTAGGAGAACCAGCAAATACCACCACTGGCTGGTCCCAGAGTGGGGTGGGATGGAGATTTTGCAGTATCCTTCCTCCAGGAGTGAGGAGGGAATGGAGATTTTGTAGTATCCTTCCCCTGGAGTGGGGTGGAATGGAGATTTCGCAGTATCCTTCCTCTGGAGTGGGGGGAATGGAGATGCAATTTCCTTCCCCTGGATGGGGTGGGAATGGAGATTTTGCAGTATCCTTCCTCTGGAGTGGGGTGGGAATGGAGATTTGCAGTATCCTTCCCCCAGGAATGGGTTGGAATGGAGATTTTGCAGTATCCTTCCTCTGGAGTGGGTGGGAATGAGATTTTTGCAGTATCCTTCCTCTGGAGTGAGGTGGGAATGGAGAGGGAGGGAGGGAAGGAAGGAAGGAAGGAAGGAAGGAAGGAAGGAAGGAAGGAAGGAAGGAAGGAAGGAAACAGAGCAGGAGTGAAATCCAGCAGGTCCTGACAGGTTCTGGAGAACCGGTAGCAGAAATTTTCAGTAGTTAGGAGAACCAGCAAATACCACCACTGGCTGGTCCCAGAATGGGGAGGGGATGGGAGAGTATGATAGAGGGAAGGGGAGGGAAGGGAAGGGAAGCAGGGAGGGAAAGAAAGAAAGAAAGAAAGAAAGAAAGAAAGAAAGAAAGAAAGAAAGAAAGAAAGAGGAAGGAAGAAAGAGGAAGGAAGGAAGGAAGGAAGGAAGGAAGGAAGGAAGGAAAGGAGAGAGAGAAAAAAAATTGGGAAATGTCCTCCTCCTCCTTCCTTCTCTCTTCCTTTCCCTTCTCTTCCCTTCCTCCTGGCCTAGCAGTAGGTATGGTGGTACTTCCTCAGTATGCAAAGCGACCTCTTGCCAGTCACAACACAGGTGCCAACAACAGCTTTGACAAAGAAACCTACTCAGGCTCCAACCCAGCGAAAACAACCTCAAGAAAGAAATCGGGGGTATTTGAATCACCCAGACAGACAACCCTCATTTGAAAAAGAAATGTCGCTCACTGGAATTCTGAGGTTAGGAATTTAGTCTTTAGTTTGTATTCTTTAATCAATCTGACTCATGGTTGGATTAGTTGCTACTACTCAGTTTCCAGCCTTGAGGATCCTTTACCATCAGGCCAGGCTGGCTGGGGTGTCTCTTTTTAAAATTTAACGCTTCACACTAACAATGTTTCCTGCTAAAATTAGGACAAGCTGAGCTGGATTTTCTCTCAAACCAGGGGTCGGCAACCTTAAACACTCAAAGAGCCGCAAAGGTCCTAACCGGAAGCCCCCCATTCAATTCTGGAGCTGACCGGAAGTCCCACCATAGAGTCTCCTCCTAGCATAGCGTCTTTTCCTCTACCTATCCTAACCAAAAGCCCTATTAATTGTGGAGCCGACCAGCGACAGGGAGCCGCAGCAGACGGGTGAAAGAGCCACATGCGGCTCCAGAGCCACGCGGGTTGCTGACTCCTGCCCCAAATCATTTTGCTTAAGATTTTTTCCCCCCGACGCACGAAGAAGCTAACTTTGCTCTTTTACCAACGTCGCTCTTCATTTTTACTCTTCTGGTAGATGCTTCTCTTCAAGAACTGAAAATTCAATTTTTTTTCACTAAGTCAGTCTTCGGAGCTCTCTTGGGAAAGGCAAGCTTGAGCAACGGAAAGGGTGGTTCAGTTTCTCGGACAGTCCAAAGGTCCCGATACTGAGGCTGGGCTGTGTTCTGACCTCGGCTTCCCCAGCAGCACGAAGCCGAGTCCTCATCCCGATAAACCTTTTTATTTAATTTACAGCGAATTCCTCTCCAGAAAAGTCTTTCCTCTCCCACAGTCTTTCAAGATAGTTCACAATTACCGACCTTGATCAAGCTTGGAGAGTGGCCAGGTCGATATCGTTCAGATGCCGCAATACTTGGCAAGAATGCAGGAATGAACTCGTTGTCTCCTGCAAACTCCACTCCCCTTTCGCTCCTCTTTTATTCCCTCTGGGAGGGGCCATTCACTGTCCACCTGGGGCAGTGGTGGGTTTCAAATTTTTTTACTATCAGTTCTGTGGGTGTGGCGTGGTGGGCGTGGCAGGGGAAGGATACTGCAAAATCTCCATTTCCTCCCGATCAGGAATCGCACCTTTCCGCCACGCTCTTAAAACCTTTTTATTTCACCAGGCTGGTCTGGCCTAACTTTTCCCATTCTTTTTTAATGTAAATTTTAATGTACATTTTAATTTGTTCTTAACCTGGGGTTTTGAATTTGTCTTGGGCTAAATTGATTTAATTCGATTTTACTTCTGTTCTTATTTTTTGTATTTTACGTGTTTTATTCTGTGCCTGTTCACCGCCCTGAGTCCTTTGGGAGTAGGGCGGTATACAAATTAAATAAAATGAAAATGAAAATGAAAAATTTCCTTCCTGATCAGGAAAGAAGTCCCAGCTGAGTCCCAGCTGATCCCCATCAGAAATGGGGATCAGCTGGGACTCAGGAGGCAGAGAATAGATGGGAGCGGGGCCAGTCAGAATTTTTACTACCAGTTCTCCGAACTACTCAAAATTTCCTCTACCGGTTCTCCAGAACTGGTCAGGACCTGCTGAAACCCACCTCTGACCTGGGGCCTTACTCCTGAGTCGTCCCTTGTTCTTTAGCTGTTCCCTTCGTCTGGCAACCGCGCATGCACACACTGGGAACAGGCTCCAGCTGTTCGTCTGCCTCACTGATGTCTAACTCTGAAGGCAGCTGATACCTATCATAACGGCCCTGGCCCCCTCTCTGCCTCCGACGCAGAGCCCTCATCAGAGCCCTCCCCAGACTCCAGGACTGGCCCATGTTCCTCCCCAACCTCCTCACTGTCTGAATCTGCTGCCAGTTCCGCTGGCGGGGGCCACAACAGGCTGAGATGTGAAAATGCAAAAGAGACATTTGTGCTTCCATCCAATTTGTCGTGAAAACTGGGAGCAGTAAGTTGCCTCTGTGGGAAAGAATCACCCAGTGGTGGGATTTGACCACTGAAACTCTCTTACAGGAAGTGGAAAAAGACAACTGGATAGAATTAACGCTCTTGAATTCCCTTCCCCTTCGAAGCCAACTCAAGCCAGGATTTGGAGATGCCTGGAGCTTGCCATCTTGGGGCTAAGGCGCCAGTTTTCTGTGTCTCTTTCTTTAAAAAAACTTCCACTTTCCTGCCCATCGAATACTCCAGCGTGAAAAGATACAGGAACGGAACGACAATGGTAATAATTATAGAGGCGGGAAAAACAAGACAATTACAGAAACGGGGAACAGGAGCATCTGCTGCATCAGATAAACCATCGCTCTTCTGTTAATATGTGGGCTCCGCCAGGCTGCCAATTGCCGGATCTTTATTAGATGTCTGCAAACACAGACTTGTAACTAATTAAAAAGATAAACGTCATTGTTCTCTGCCCCCAGTTTGGCAATAGCGGGCATTCGGAAGCACAATGCCACCAAAGATGAAGATTCCAGTTTTCCTTTTCCCTCCCCAACGAGTTTTCTTTCTTGTGCCGTCTCCTTTTCAGTTA